GGATAATTATTAGTTATAATTTCTCACTTAACAATGTTAATACAGTTAAAGATTAAGATTATTTTAACTAAAATTTCATATATGCGGTGAGTTTTGGCAAAATACTGCGATGACCGATCATAAGCCAGCCGCAGGTCGACAATCGCCGTCATGCATCTGGTTACTGATTGGTCACCGCAGTATTTTACCGGAGCTCACCGCATATATGGAGTTTTAGCTTTACTCCCAAATTTCTTAGAGTGAAAATTTCAAAGATAGAGTAACAGCCGAGTCACTCGAGTTAAAATGATTTCTCACTCTTATAGAGTAATATAACACGTTATATATGTGTTATTTAATAGTTACATTGTTGAGTAGGAAATTATAACCAACAGTTATATAGCTATTATTTAATGTTTTTTAATATTTGTTGAAAGGAATATTAACTTCAACAGAACAATTTTTTTATACCCAAATAGCACATGGATATCCATTGGATGTCTAAAAAAGATTCATCTCTTGTCCAGAAGATATATTATATATTTGATACAATTTCGTCCAGAAGATATACGTTTAGCACAACTTCAAACATTTAATTATTTTGGATATTTGTATATACATCGAACATCTAAAGGATATTCTAATTAGGTTCATCTGATTCATGTCCGAAGAAGGACATTTTATTTAAGTCCCATTTATATCCATAGACATAGAAATGGATAAACTGAATTTAAAACGCACATCCATGAGATGTCCAGTGCAATTTGAATAGCGCTATGCGATTAACAAAGTTAACGGTTAACCATTTAACCTAGGTTAGAAGTTAACTTTGGCTAACTTTGGTTAAAAGTTAACCGGTTAACTAGTTAACTTATAAACGCGTTTAAACGATTAATCGTTAAATTGGTTAATTGCACAGCACTACTTTATTAGAGAATAAAGCAGTTTTACACATTATTTCTGAATTTTATATACATATCATAATTAAATTTCTTTTTCTATTTTTACTACCCAGGTAGCAGACAACCGTGATAATGACGTGATTTTTACGTCATCTGTTACGTCATTTTTCCTTCAAGTTAACCAAATAATAACATCTTTTTGACGGTCCTAAGTCACAGACCAGAGACGTCAGTAGTTCGACGTCATTTTAAACTTAATAATGATGTCCTAGGTACGTCAAAGTTGACGTTAAAATTGACTAATATTGACTTTATGTGAGGTTATATTAGATACATTTATTGCAAAGGGGTAAGTTTTAATTGCATTAAACAGAAGTAGTATGTGAATATATTTTTTATTTGTAATACTTACAAAAAATGATAAAATATATATTATAAAAAAGACAAAAACATTAACATAAAATACATTGCATAAAACGAAGTGATTTGAAGAACATTAATAAAATATATTAGATTAAATATGAAAAAGAGGAAAACACACCCAATTTTCGTCATGTAATGGTAAAAGAATACATTTCGCTTTTATACAATCAATATCCCATGTTTGTAATTGTTGGGACAACTTGCTTACACAATAAATGTTTAATTTTTTGGAATCAAACGGATATGAATAGAGTGATTCATATGATATGTATTGTTTTCCAATTAATTTTGTTGAACCACTTGTTGTTGAAATGATATTATTAATCTGTACTATTTCATTAGTTTTATTTAAAAAATGTGAATCTGCAAAACAATGTGAATGGTTTGATAAAGTGTAATCTTTAATAGTAACCTTCTTAAATTGTTTAAAAACATTAATATTGCTTAATAGTGGGCCATTAGTGTGTTGTATGTAATGTCTTAGAAATGAGTAATTTGATTCATCGTAATGATTGCTATTTAACATTATTTCGTGTAACCTACGACATACTTGTTCAAGTGGTTTTCGAGATGATTTAACTAATTTTTTTAACCTGCCTAAATAATTTTCAAATGGGAAGCAGGACCAATCATCTAAAGGCCCATATAGTTGTACATCATTTGTCAAATGACACAACATGTGCACATTATAAACGTAAAACTCAAGACCATAAATGCTCTCTGCATGATTAATAAAAATTTCAAGTAATTCCTGCGCTAATGGTAAACCTAAATTATTAATATTGCGCTTTGAAAGTAGAATAGATATAACTGCATGAAATAGAAGAAAATGCTCATAAATTGATATATCAACAATATTTTTTAAAGCGACAGGTCCCAAATAAACTAAAAAACTTCGTAATTCTGATGCTTTCCATCTAGATAATTCTGTTAAGCTTCGTGATTTTCTATTAATCTCAGAAGGTATAAATGAACAAAATTCCATTAATTTATTCGATATTGAATCAATTGAACGATAGCATAACTTTACGTTACGTTTACCACTTATCCAAGTATGTAGTAGTTTTTTTGTAACACCTAAACACACCGCATGCATATAATCAGTTGGGAACTGTGTAACCATTCCACATTTTACTTCAAGTAGGGGCGAAATGCCAATATGATGATCTTCATCACGTTGTAAAACAAATGACTCATCTGTTCTTCTTCTTGCATTAGTACTTCTTAAAATAATACGTCCTTCAAAATATGTACCACTCTCTTCACATTTCTCACAACAAGAATATCCATTATGATTTTTTATTTGTTTTACATAAGCCCGAGCAGGAGCATCGCATATGAAACTGTGAATTTTAATGTTAAAATATCTGTCATTAACTCTAAGTCCATTCTTTAACAAAAAAGAAAGTTCTTCTATAAAATCTGCGAGATATAATTGTAAAGGAAATGGTTTAGACTGACCATAAAAAACTCCTATAACAAATGGAGGCATTTTCATATTTTTGACAAGTCCTAAAATAGGCCATAAATGGTTGTTTGTGCTATTAAATAAAGGAAGTCCATCGATGTTGAAACTTAGTTCCATCGTTGTCCCAACATAAAATTTAAATATATATTCTAAATTTCGCGTTAAACTAATATGGCAGTATTCTCCGGTATCTAATTTCTTTTTGTTAATAGATAGTGGAGTTTGTAACAAAGTTTTAGAGTTTAAGGGCAATTCTGGGTGAAGATTATGCATAAAATGTAAAAGATCTGTTAAGACGGAATGAGTTATATTGTGCTTAATAGCCCAGTGATTTATGAAGTTACGAAGATTCAAATCAGGTGTGTCTTTATCTTTTATATTAACAACGTTATCTAATTCGCAACTTAAATCTAAAGAAGACTGATTTTCGGTATGCTCATTATCACAAGTATTATTCTCGTCGTCAGAAGCGACATATATTTTTTCTTCGCTAACGTTATAATCTCTTCGTATTTTATCAGCCTTAATATTTTTCTCTTTATTAGATTGTTGGACATTCGACACAATCAAGTCTTTAAATAATTTTACCTTTTCATTGGCAATTCTTCGATATGTTTGTCGTTTCCCAACGCAACCTTTTCTATATGACGTTAAAGACATGCTGCAACTAATTGTTGTTTATTTTTTTAAAACGTTGAGGAGCGTGTTTTAACCAGACTTTTATTGAGTCCTCGATGGCCTGATTGTTAGCACCTGGTGTTGTACATTTCACTGCATCTGAAAAATTGAAGTAATGAAAGAATTTTGATACGTTTAAAAACTTTTTAAACATTTCTCAATATTATACATTTACTATGTTATGTACAATAAAATAAAAGATAAGAATAAAAATACAAAAGATGTACGACAAAGAAAAAAAAATTTTACCTATTATAATATCTTTTATCAATAAAGAATGAAAAGGTTTCTTTGGTAATCGTTTCCCATAAAAACTATACTTTTGAGACAATTCATCTGAAAACAACTGTTTCAAAATTTTATTTGTTTTGCTTGTAATATCTCGACCTCCTAAAGTCGACAGAAATGAATGCTACAAACAAAATTTACAATTATCATACAGATTAATAAAAAATTAACAATCTCGGCAAGCTGCGTTGTTTACAACCCATTCGAAAATTCGTTCTTGAATTTTTTCGATAAAAAATAATTTTATATAAGCAATTGGATTGAATATTTGATTTTGGTACCTATTGAGTATTGTAGTAAAGATGATGCTAAATAATTCTAAATTTTTATGAATATCTTAAGATTTCTGGCTTCTTGCGTTGTCTATCTCTTTTTATTGACGTCAGAAGCATGAAAATGCATGCTAAAAATTCTTGCGAAATACATTGAAATAAAAATATATATCCATAAAGTAATGCAGGATTCACACCGCGTCCGATATCCGATATCCAATCTATTCTCCTATTGGATATCGGACGCCGCACGTCGGACATCGGTGTGAATCCTGCATAACACTTGCAATCGATTAAAAAAATTTGTAAAATATTCCGTGTTCTCCTCATTTGCTCTAACAATCAATCATTTATCGTAAATTAACGTGACATACAATTGTAAGATATAAAGTGAACTGAGATAATACGAGTCATATTGACAAACCAATAACTACTAAGAAGAAGAGAGAGAATGTACTGAGGTAGGGAATCTGGGTAGCTCATTGGTAAGAGCAGTCACCCGGATAGCGAAAGGTCCCGGGTTCGAATCACGGTCCAGCAAACTCCGGCTTCCGGTATATTTTTCTCTCCGACTCTTACACAATTCACCTCTTTAACCTATTTCTTCGTCTATTTCTATTCAAGTTTATTTACAATAAATTATACATTGTTAGAGCAAAAGAGGAGAACACGGAATATCTTATAAATTTGTTTAATCGATTGCAAGTGTTACTTTATGAATATATACTTTTATTTCAACGTATTTCGCAAGAATTTTAGCGTGCATTTTCACACTTTTAACGTCATTAAAAAGAGATAGACAAAGCAAGGAGCCAGGGACCTTAAAAGCATAAAACAAAAATCATATGATATGAACGTAAACAACCCAGGTTGCCAACGTCGTTATATAAAAAATATAATTGCTGACAAAATGTTAAATCTAACATTATATACAAACAGTCACCCACATGGAGAATGAGAAAAGGTACATGCCCTTAGGTATAATAGAAACATTTATTTAACGCTCTGGAGAAAAGCTTCTCCCAAGCGCCGAAATAATACAGGATGTTCCAGAAAGCTTTCATACGGAATACACACTGAAATTCTCGAGACTAAGGCCTGGTTGCACCAATATTATTTTGGCTTTAAGCGAAACTTAAACATATATCTATCTTTATCTTTCTTTGTAAATAAATAAAGACAGACATATATTTAAGTTTCCTTTAAAACCAAAATAACTTTTGTTATTTAGGTTGTGTAGTCTAAGGCTGATATTCATAGTCGAGTCTTATATCTAAGATCGTCTTCAATTTATCTTTGGGTACTCCATAGTTAATGAAATAATTCGTACATTATCTGAAGATGAACTTAAGACGATCTTAAATATAAGATTCGACTGTGAATACCGACCTAAAAGAAACATCTTTTTCCTTAACTAAAACAATAGTTTTTACCTGAGGGCTATTTAAAGTTATCGAATCAGAGGGGTGTATATCAGTTGGACACGGGGCAATTGGACACAGTCCAATCACAAGTCGCTGTTCCAAGGGACCCTACAAATGTCTCTAATCACACGGTGCTGTGATTGGCTGTGTCCAAATGCACCGTGTCCAAGTGCACCGCTCCCGAATCAGAGTGTTACATTGCGAGCAGATCAGGAGCGGCATGCGGTACGCGTCTGCAGTATGACAAAAACTGTCTACATAATTTATTTGTTACTTTGTACATCGCGCACCTCTCCTGAGGCGAATACCAAGCAACACTCTGATTCGACAAATTTAAATAGCTCTCAAAACTATTGTTCGAAAAAATTTTGGTTAAGGAAAAAGTTGCTTTTTTGGTCTCAAGAATTTCACTGTGCATTCGGTATGCGAGCTTTCTGGGACATCCTGTACAGATAAATAATATAAACAAAAATTATGTACAAATACATATATGAAGTATTCCTCCTTCAAATATGAAACATAATCTTTCTTCCTTTCTTGCTTTTTTATTTTCTTGGGCAAAAAATATAGTTAAAATATTTACCAAATTATATGAATTAGTTTCGTCTACAATGAATCCTTCCAAGAGGCATAAATTTTCGTTTGTTTTTAATGGTAGATGAACAGGTATATTCTCTGGCAGGGAGAATGAGACAGCTCCTTTTGCTTGAGGAACTTTTCTTAATTGAGCTAATATTTGATTATTTTGTTCTTTAATAGTGATAAGAGTATCTATTATTTTCTCTAAAACAGCTAAAACAGAAACACTAATGAAATACACATGACGCGATAAATTATGTAAATACATCTTAATTTACCTTTCTTTTTTATGTCATTATTAATTAATGCTGTGTGTATTTTTTGTGTTGAGATGGATGATGCGATACCATCACCTATAGAGAAAACGGTAATCATAATTATATGTTGCTGAATTCTTCTTTGATAACTTATAAAAATATTATATATATTACCTTCTTCATTCAGAATATGTGATGTATTTTTAAATGATAAATTATTATTATTTTTAGAAGAGCCTGAAATCGGTAATCAATTATATGTAACTAAATACTTCTTTGATAATGTATAAAAATTTTATATGTATTACCTTCTTCATTCAGAATATATAATGAATTGTTATATGAGAAATTATTTTTAGAAAAGCCTGAAATCCATTATAAAAGTCAGATACAGAATAAGTATGATTTAAAAGATTCCTTATACATTATTATACAAGATATAACTTAGAATTTTTTTTATTGGAGGTAGACGATTTAAAGTTTGAAATTGTATTATTTTCCTCGGTTGAATCATTGGAATCATAAAGACGTCGCGTAGGATATCGTTTTCTCTTTACACTATTTTCTAAATCAGTTTTTAAATCGCTAGTATTTTCTGCTTCTTTAGCTTTTCTATGTGCTACATTGAGATCATCTACAAAATTAATTTTGCGAGCTAGAAATTATAACTGATATTGCTTAATGTTTCGCTATTCATGGAAAATCTAACAGAAAATCTGATAGAACACTTTGTATAAGCATTAATAACGTTTTTTAATGAATTGGAGTTAATACAGGTTCGATATATAGTAAATACCCAGATAATTAGTTTGCTGATAACAACATCCCACTATAGATCCATATCTACTATGTCCGCATTAAGCTTATGTTTTATGAACATCTGTTAAAATAACCTTATGGCAGGTTAGCGACAGGAATAGTCCTTTTCGCCGTCAACAAAGGTTATTATAACAGATGTTTACATAACACAAGCTTTATGGAAACAGAGTAGGGTATGCATCTGCTATGGGATTTTACTAAGTACAAATTTGGTTATTTGAACATATATTTAATTTTACACACACACATATAACCAGATAACTAAACGTACATAAATAGATTCTGGGCAAAGTCTGCTACAAAGTTTTAATAGTTCAAAGGTAACAATTTTCACACAGAATTTATTCTTTTTAATGATGATGCTAAGCTGCTGTCAAAATTGTTGACACAGCTTGCTGATATACTATGTTAGCAGATAAATGCAGAAACTAATAGAATGTGTAGCAATTCTATTTAGC